TTGAATGAAACCTAGAGATGACTTAGCAGACCTAACAATTATTAAAAGCAAAATATCTAGACATCACTACTGGGACAGCTGGTTGTCATCCAGATCGATCAATTTCTTCGCCAATGGGAGGTAATGGATTGTTTCTTGGGCAACGCCTAACATCATGGTTAATGTTGCGACACTTTTTACAGTGCTGTAATTGTTTCACGGCTCCACTCCCACCTGATTCTTGTTTTCTGGTGTGCCTCTTGCGAATCTTTGCATTTCTGATCCTTACCTCTGCTCCACTCTCGCACGCACACTAGTAGGCATGCCCATGGTACGTTCCAAAATTGGGGGCTTGATTGAATTTACATTTATAGCAGCACCACTTCTGCTGTTAACAATCTGTAAAGATCCCCTTTCACTATCAGAGAAGACTTCGCTCCTAGATGTTCCTTCTCCACAACCTTCTGATCCACTAGATTGGCAGGTGGTGTTTGCTTGAGCAGTGGAGTGACATCATGTGAAGATGAACTAAGCAGTGCATTAAAACTTGAAGTTAAAAAAATTAGCTGAACTGGGATTACTGTTTCATGGTACGAACAAAATCTGGTCCGGTCAATATGACCGGAGCGTCCGGTCACCCCGCGTTGTGCTTAGTGAATAGGTACAATGGCTCTATTTCATGGGGCTTCTATTTAAGCCCCATGGCCGGCTCAAGCTCATTCTCTTGGCCATTTGCATTGACATAGCTACCTTGTGAGCTTAGTCAAAGCCCTCCCACTCATCTCCATCATTGATTCATCATCTTTGTGAGATTGGGAGAGAATCCAAGTGCATTGCTTGAGTGATTACATCTAGAGGCACTTGGTGTTCGTGTTTTGCTGCGGGGTTCGCTTGTTGCTCTTGGTGGTTGCCACCACCTAGACGGCTTGGAGCAGCGGAGGAGGATTGACACGAGTTGGTGATTGTTCGTGGCCATCTCTCGGTGATTGTGAGGGGATTTGTACCTTCCCCGGCGGAGCGCCAAAGATAACTCTAGTGGATTGCTCGTGTCATTGAGTTACCTCACTTGTGGGTAGGTTCTTGCGGTGTCCAATTGTGTGGACGAGGTTAGTGTAACACCTCTTAGCCGCCGAACCACCAAGTGTTGGTCGACACAATGGGGACGTAGCGTGTTGGCAAGCACGTGAACCTCGGGAAAAATTGGTTGTCTCTTGCCCTTTGGTATTCTTCCGGTGATGGATAAAGTATTCATCTTGTGATTGGTTCACTCCTCTACGCGGCGGTATAATCACCTCACTTACTCATTTATATTCCAGCAAACTAGCTATATCAAGCTCTTTAGTGTAGTTAGAATTGAGAGCTTGCTTTGTGGATTAAGTTCATCTAGTGGAGCTCTTTAGTGTAGCATTTGTGAGAGCTTTTAGTGAGTAGTGACCTAGTGGATTGTGTGCCTAGTGATCATAACAACTAGAATTATTGGATAGGTGGCTTGCAACCCTTGTAGAGCTAGAGTAAGTTTGCATTTCGCTATTTGTTATACTAATCAAATTGCTCTAGTTAATTTGTATATTTTAAATAGGCTATTCACCCCTCCTCTAGCCATATTAGGACCTTCCAACGTGCCCGCGGCCGTGGCTGCCTGCTTGTCACGGCAGCTCGTCCGGGCTGCATGGTGTGGTGGTGGCTCGCCGACCTACATGCGCCCGCGCCCATGGCTACCCGTCCAGCTGACATCTCGCCTGACCTGCATGGCACGGCGGTGGCTTGACGACCAAATTTTTATTTTTAAGTCTTTTTTTTATTTTTTTCACAAATATGCCCCTGGAGGAAAGATTTCAAAATTTGGACCCTTAGCTCTGCGCCATCGTGGCTGGCGCCGAGCTAACACGTCTCGGCGCCAGCATCCTTGGCGCCGAGCTCTTGGGCTCGAAGCCAACGTGGTGGTGATATGGCAGGCAACTCGACGCCAGTAACCCTGGCGCCGAGCTTGGCGCCGTAGATCTTGGCGCCGAGCTCGGTGCTAGGGTGACTGACGCCGAGCTTGTGTTTTAACCCCGGCCCCAACCTTCTTACACGAGCCTTCTTCCTCTTCTTTCTCCTCCCTCTCGGGTTTTTTCTCTCCCCACTTCGCCCTACCTCACGAATCGGCATATTGGACTTTGGAAACCTTGATTTGATCCATAGATCTTCGAGAGCAATGTATCCTCGCTCCCCTCCTAGTTTTTTCGCATCGATTCGGTATATATTAGTCGGATTTTTCAACCTAAGAATCGTCATTACTTAGGGTTTCATTCTATCCCTCAATATTTGTATTATACATCCGTAGGATGATGCCAAGGCGTGAAAAAGCTAGCAAATCTAGGTAACCGCAGCGCATGTAGTTATGTTATGGGTTCACTGTTGTGCATCAAATGAAAAACCCTAGGTTTAGGGTTTCATGTTAATTGCTTTCGGTTCTTAGAACGAAATTGGTTGTATTGTAGTTATGGTTCTCATTGATATTTATTTGTGATGTTTTGATTTTTGTTTGTTAAATTACATCCGTTTTGTTAGATGCAAAAAATATATCGGGAGGTGTTTTGACGAAAACAGGGTCGTGCTCGAGAATTATACCCCGACGCGTCTAGCAAAGATGCCCCCATCCCTCCTGACCTCCGTGTCGGCCCACGTTTTTCAATTGAAACATCCGGACACAGCGGCGCGGTGCTTCTACACATGCAGTCGTTTTAATGTAAGAAATTGTTTCCACTATCTTTTTTCTTTATTTGTGTAAGTATGCTACTATTATTTTGTTGGAATCTCATTGTGTAGGACCATAAGATGTGCTTTTTCTTTCAGTGGATCGACGGTGCATACAAGTTTGATCCTAGATACCTCTTTTTCGACGATTGGTTTAGAGGGAGACATCCATGTGAGCACTTCAAGTGGTGGGTTCCACCTCCCCTAACCCTCCGCTAATGATGGCTAAGGAGAAGCACCTAGCCGCAGTTAGACGACTCGAGGAACCTCCTCTGTGCGATTGCGGAGATCGAGCTGTGATAAACCCTGAGAATACGTTAGAGTTTGTGTGTCCAAACAAGCATGAAGTAAGTGCAAAGTGTATGTGTTGAAATGTTGAGCTATATGTGTTCATGTACTAATGTTACCTTATTTAGGTGTTTTCAATGCAGCGAGGAACATGCCGCAGAGGTGGCTCATGCAAGGTATAAGGAAAAGAAGTTAGATGAGCACAGATCACGAGCTGATCGCACCGTTCAATCACCGATTGTGTTGTCTGATGAGGGGGGCAAGAATGAGGACGACACTGATAGACTGAGTGAGCTCATCGCTCTAGCAGAGACGAGCTTGCAGATGGAGGAGGCTGAGGACGACACTGGCAGACTCAGTGAACTCATCGCTCTAGCAGAGAGCGTGAAGCGCGTGCCGTGCCAGAGAATATACAAACAGTGTTGTTTAGTCGTCTAGTTCTTTCTGTTTTATTAGGCATCAATTAAGTAGGGCATGATCGAGGAGTGGGTGAGGGAGGATAATATAACCTAGCTAGCTACTTGATCACGAGGATCGAGTGGGTGAGGGAGGATAATATAATTAACCTACTTGATCACCGACAAGCAGGACTTTCAGTGCCGTGCCATGTGGTCCGTCGAATCGAAGGGGCATGTGAAGCGCCTGCCGCCTGCACGCGGCGGACGGAGGCTGTTGGCCCCGACATGCATGGGCTCCGGCGGCTCACCGAGCCACATCTATCGCCATGCATGCTGCGGATCGGACAAACTGGCACGTGAAGCGCATGTACGTGGAGGAAGATGAGGTCAGTCATAGGGCTCCTGTCACCAGCCACAGGAACCATGTCGTCAGGTCAGGGATGACCGGGAATGAAGAGCTCACCCAGCCACATCGATTGATCGATCGCACCAGGTAGATAGACCCAATAATTAGGATTTCGATCTGTCGTCGTTTGATCCGGCCATCGAGGGATGATGGATGTTGCATGGAGTGTTGGGAATGAAGAGGTTACAGGTCGATCATGGCCATCGATTGATCATTAGATATGTTTATCATGATCAACATTGTCAAATCATAGTAATTAGGTAAAAGATAGAAATTATGTAATTAGTTTTGTAATATATTTAGGATTTCGATCTGCTCTTTAGGAGGAGGAACCAAACACCCACTTAGCCTCCTACCTCACTACTACGCTGAGATCTCTCTCGGTTGAGAACTCACCTCCTTTCCACTAGGCGTGTATTCTTTAGTACATTTGCAGAACAACCCATGAATTTCCATAGCCATTCGAGCGAGCTCCTCACTATACACACACACAAAAAAAAAAAGGGTTGGTGTTACCAAACAAATTAATTGGTATTACCTCAGGATTGTTTGGTCTCCCCATTACAGAGGATAAATGTTCGGTGAGAGCCACCGGAGAGAGACACCATCCGGGGAAAAAAATACCCATTACCCAAAGAGATGTTGCAGACTATGTATTGCTGACCATTTGAAAAGAAAATATGAAGAACGCCAGTGGTAAGGATCTCGCTTCGTCTCCTCCTCCACGGCGTGTATAAGCACATGCAAACAACCCATGAATTTTCATAGCCATCGAGCGATCTCAGACAACCTCAAGGAAACAAATTAATATGGCCTCAGGATTGTTTGTGTACGGTATATATATATATATAAAGTTTGTATATATATATATGGTTGTTTATTATACAGAAATTTGGACTAGATACTAAATGAATTTTGGTTTACAAAAATTTGGAACTGAATGAATCTGAACTACGTACACTTACTGAAACAAATGAATTTTTGGGTCCGATATATACGATCGATCGACCTCTGTAACGTTTGCCTCCTTTATTCGATCGAAACTCGTACTATATATATATATATATATATATATATATATATATATATATATATATATATATATATATATATATATATCAGATTTCACTTATACAACAACAAAAGATCAGCAATATATATATATATATCAAAGTTTTGTTTACTCCCAGATACGGTAATGGAATAAGTACAAAGTGCCTCATCTACAATGCCACCGGTGCCACTCTGGACTTCATCACCTACAAAGATTGGCAGGGCCATATCTTTGAAACACCCCACCCATCACAGATTCAGAATGGGCAGTGGGGGGCATTCCTCCATGTCCACCCAAAAGCAGCTGCCAGAGGTTCAGCTGGTGCCGCTGTGTATCGTACCAAGAGACCCTCCGGCAGCGACTCCTGCGATTGGTTGTTCTGTTGGAGCATCCCCTACATCGGTGACAACAGCGTAAGCGCTTATCTCAAAATATAATTAATAATGTTTTATATATCTTACTTGTTTCTCTCTCTTCGTTCATGCTGCTCCAGTTAATTATTATATATATAGTATGAGTTATTAGAATGACTCATCTATTAATAACACATAGGTTTACATGCCACCACAAAAAGTAAAAGGTGAAATTTAGTTGTTCGCAAGTGATGATGCATGCATTCAGTTACAGAGCTGCAAATGACAATTATTTTTTTAACTAAAACGATGTAAGATATTGTTTGATTTCATTCATTAAAGAATCAGATTCTTATATTTAGAAAATATTATTGATTTAAAATCTGAATTAATACAATGTGAATTTTATTTAGGGACAAGGGATCGAATATGTTCATATTCGCATCTCAATTTGATGAATTAAACTCGTACAAATAAATAAACGAATCTTAACTGAATCCAATTGAATTTACTTAGTATGTTTATATGTTTTCCTCAACTGAAATCCCATGGCGCGTAGTATATCCTAAATAAACTCTAGTAGTGCATATTCTTATAATTTATGTATGCAGGTGTACACCGAAATCCGTGATGAAGGGCACTTCCCTCAGCACTGGGACTATATCTACCATGAGAGGCTGGAAAAAGCAGATCGCAACTCTTCTGATAACGGCTATGGATATCGTTCCAAGACTGAGATCGGTGAAGGCACTACTGTTAACGCGCGTGCAACTTTCGAGCTTCCTAAATGAAATCTCCTCGTTCCTAGCACTAGCAGGCCCTTGTGTGACGAGGACGCTTGCGTGTTTCCCTCTCTTCAATTTGCTGTGTTTGTGGTGTATTTTCAAGCTTCCGTTGGTGTGCGAGCAATCAAATTTCTTTTGCTTTATCTCAGCCATTTTGTCTGGTTGATGGGTGTGTGAATGCTACGTGGGCGACGGAGTCTACCCCATAGCAAAACTTTGTAATAATTGACGGTCACATATATCTTACGATATTGAGACCGGGATATTTTTCATTTGCTCAATAAAATAAACCGGTGTAATTTTGTTTTTTTATGGGTTGTTCTGTAGTATCAAGTTGTCCTTTTGTACTGGCTATTGTTTCCCTCAATAAATCCATTCTTTTGAGTGTGTTTCTTCCATTAAAGATATGTAGACTTAAACTAAATTAAGATACCAACATCATAAGGAAAATCAAAATGACAACCAGCTGTGGAAACAATCCTTGTGTAATGGAGTACCATATAAATGGGTGATGGATTCACCCCACAAGTTTCTACCATGTCCAAGTTCTCCTCTACCGCCTACATCTAAATCTATGTAATCTTAAAGTGATACTATTGGAAATCGGAATTTTACTGACGCTGTTAGGTTTTTGTTAAGGTTATTGTGTAAACCGACAAGATAATTGATGGTTTTCAAAAAACACACAGGAAAATTTAGAAACCGATTGAAAAATTCTGAATTTACCTATGTGTGCATGTAACTGACAGAATAATTAATTTTCTTGTTGGTTTACTAATGACACACATGAAAATTATGCATTGTTATGTTGGTTTGAGTATTTTCTTATCGGTTGTGAAGATAATACATAGAGTCTGTCTATCCAACAACCATGTGTTTCAGTACAAGCTAGCACATGGTTGTTGGTTGCTTGCATAACACATGATTTCAAACAAAGAAGAAACCATGTGTTTTAGCATAAGCTAGCACATGGTTGTTGGTTGCTTGCATAACACATGATTTCCAACAGAGAAGAAACCATGTGTTTTAGCACAAGGTAGCACACGTTTGTTGTCTGCCTCTAAAACAATGGATTTTTACATAACATGTCTAGTTAGAAGCTCCCTGGTACACGTCTCATGTACCTTAGTCCCTTCAGACCCAGAATGACATGTCCTTTCATTGTTGAAAATAGTCTCTTCAAGCATCACAAGGGTGATATTCCATCAGGCAGCAGCACGGAAGAGAAGAAGCACCACACATCCTGCAAGATAATCAGTTCACAGATGCATAGTTTAAGCAGGTCCAAGTACAGAACAAAATGCTTCAAAGTTGTAGTTATCAACACCCTAAACTGAATATCTATGCATTTACCTGTCACAGCTGAACTAACCATATGCACGGAATGAAGAATATTTAGCATTTCAGCAACCATCATGTCTTTATTAGTCTAAGACAAGTAAGCTTTGGCCCTTATAAAACATTACAGAACTATTGCACTACTGAAAGTACATTTCAAGTAAGATAAAAAGGCAAGGACTCATACCTATTGTACACCATATATTCATATGTGATCCCTACTCCAGAAATTCTTACCAAAGAGATAGTGAGAGAAGGACATCACAAAGATACAGACAGCAAACCTGTGATATAATCAATGACAAAGCACCAGCATATTGACTTCAAACAAAAAAAACTCAGATTAAGACAGCAGCTGCAACGCACGCCTCCCATACAAAATAGTGCCAAAGTTATATATAAAGATTGGATATTGCACATGTTAAACACCATAATTGCAGTATTTTAAGTGTGCAATTTATTACTTATAAATGTGCAATCAAGAAATTGATACTAAACACAGCTTTCTTGTATAGTGTATGCGTATATGCAACACACAATTAAAATATGTGAGCTCTTACTATTCCACTACAATAGCCACAAGACAGCCCAGCTATCCAAAACTACAGGAGGATGAGGCTATACACAAGCAGTACAGGGTAAAACAAAAATGCTTCATCAATGTCATTGTTAATGGAGGGACCGAGCTCAATTAGGCATGATGGCTACTGCAGCTTAAGCAAAGAATGTGCATCAATTAGGATTTAGAGGTAAGGAAACCGTGGTAACACTGACACACCTGTGCCTCCTCCACACACATACACACAAAGACACAAGCAATTGTATGTGCTCACCAGCCTCCTCCCAAATACAAAAAAAACCAATTAGTGTCGTGGACTGTGGTCTGCTGCAGGGTGTTACGGCTTAGGCTGCGTAGGGGGTAAGAGTGGACGGTTGCTGGCCGAGGCTTGAATCCTCGGCGGTGAATAGGTGGCGCCGTGGCCGGCGCCTGAATTACTAGGTGGCAAGGAGGAGACGGTGAACAGTGCTGGGCACCCAAGGGAGATGGAATGTCTCAATCCCAGGTTAACTCTTCATTAAAACAAATGGTCTGCCTTATAGGCGAATTACAAGCATGCCACTAATTTAGGAATAACAAACTAAACATGCAGCTAACAAACTTCCAACAAACTCCACGCAAAGCTCTTGTGATCTAACAAACTGAAGCTGATCTAACCAACTGAAGCCACATTCTAGCCACTGGTGGTGTGTTGCCTCCTCTGGTACATTTGGCCCACCATAACACAGGGACAGAAGTGACTATGAATGAACATAATCTCACACACATCCCAACACAAATGACAAGGAGAAAAAATTGGTTTGGGTAGGCACAAATCACAATAAACAGAGTTGAACCAAAGTACAGTTTATGTTCAAATGAGGTGGAATTTCACTAAGTTTGTCTGGTGCAGTTAGAAATATTGCTTATGATAATCTTGTACAGTTGCACTCCAAAGAACCAAAGTACAGCTTATGTTCAAATGGCTCACCCTTGATTTTAAGGTAGTTGGACCGAGCCTTTGGTGTTCTAGCTTGGCTCACTGTGGACCTTTTGAGAACCTCTAGAGATGGGAATAGTGGAGTTCTTGGTGGTGTCGGAAGCCTAAAAGAAAACAACTTTATTGTGAGAACAGTTATATAATAACTTTAAAACTGCAGTCCAGAAGTGACCTCTAATGAAATCTATGATGCAGCAGAATGGACTTAATGCTGAATTTAGAGAATACAAACAAAAGAAGTGCCAAAATATGTAGGATACCACCTAAGTCTGAAATGACATCAGATATCTATCTCATACAGAGCTTCTAATATTGTGCACTCTGGATGGATAACACACAAACCCAATAAATTAGTTTATTTGAATCACTTCCCTACCCACTCCAATTAATTTTGCCCTAACCAAATCAAGTAGCTAACCCAGCACTTCTACAAGCACGCACGAACCAAAAAAGAAAATATCATGTGAGCTTAGTTAAATATCCTGTGTTAACATGGCCACCTATAATCTACTTACTTAGGATCCTATCCTCTATCAACTAGAAAATGTCATTCATAGTCAAATAGCTTTTGCATGAGTAGTGATGTCAATAATACTAGTGCAACTACATGCAGTAACAATCAGTTATCAGCCAACTAACCCCTGGCATGAAAATCTTAGTCCAAAACCATAAACAAATGCCTTTGTTACTGCATGTAGTTAGCACAAATCACAATTAACAGAATTCAAGATATGTTAGCACAAATCACAATAGATAATTTTTTTTCTATGAAAGGACGAGGACAAATAAGAGGGGTGTGCTAGCACAAATCACAATTAACAAAGTTCAAGATGTGATAGCATAAATCACAATAGAAATTTTTTTTCTATGAAAGGACAAGAACAAAAACTTGGTGCGGGCAGGCACAAAACACAATTAACAGACGAACTACAACAACTTCAACACCACCGGTGAACTACAACAGCTATGGACAAGAAGAAGGTCCATGAACTTAAACAACTTCATATGTCAACTCAAAAAATAACAACCCCACCTGAAATTTTGCAACAGTCTTAGGTGTCCTAAAGAGGCCCTACAGAGACAGCAAGCAACTGAGCTGGTCAGCAATTGCATTCTGTATTGATTTCTCATAATTTTCAAGCACATCTTCAAATCCAACCAAAGTAACCGCGGCCTGGACAGGCTTCTTTCCACTAAGCATGATTGCAGCAGATTTCTTCATCAACATGTTATCTGCAGCCTATAAGATACACAATAATTGGTACGATGAACTTAGCCCAGCATGTACAGAGAGAATATACAATCCTAACAGATGCTAAAAATGAAATAATTATTAAAATAAAAATACACTTACATAGACAGTCAAGCCCTTGTTTCTTTAAACGAAGAACCATCTTATTTTCTAGTGCACAAACTTGGTCCAGTATATAGACAACCTGGACAGCAACAAAGTAAACTCATGACTTTCAATAAGTGTAGGATCAGGAAAATGATTGGTTCTTACACTGAAGCTGCAACCGCAACGTCAGACCCAAACTAATTATCGTGCGTTCAGATTAGCTGGAAAATATTCAAATTAAAAATGTGGAAATATATGTTGGGCCTCAGATTAGCATTTTGGCACCACTACAAAGTTTTTACCCTACCAGCCTCACAAATGCATTCTAAAGACACAAACACACACTAATTCTCAAGCCGAACTAGATCTATTATTTAGAGAGAAGACTTGTATTAAAATAGAAATGAGATGCACTCCTTAAAAATATACTGTCTAGTGCTTACACTGAAACAAAAGACCCATTTCTAGTCCCAAATAGCCCATCCAGAAGAATATCGATGCCCTAAAGTAATAACAATTGCATGCTCTAAGTTAACTAAAATAGTGACAAAGTTATTTATAAAGACCAGATATTACACATGTTACGCACCATAATTGCACTAGTTGAAGTGTGCAATTTCCTACTAATAAATGTGCAATAAAAAAATGTATAACTGCATCCATTTAGCACGAAAAACCTAACAGCACTATTTGGGATCTTAAAAGCTCACTATCACAAGGGGTTCAACTTCTACAACTCTGGAAAAAAATAGAATTCAAACATCAAAAATGAGGATTAAATAAGATCTGTGGTAAGATATTAATAGGAGTAAGTCCATGATCACGGCACTAACATTATTGTGTTCCACCAATTAAGACAAAATAATTTGTTTTAATACATTGTTTAGTCAGAGAGAAAGAGAGGTGCCATTAGAGCTAAGTAAAAAATCAACAGGAAGGCCAGCACAAGGTAATATACTTAATGCTGTTTTCCCTGGCCAAGTGGCCATGGATGTTCAGGCCATTCTATATGAGAATGCATAAAGGTGTAAAAACCTGGATGATCCCCACATTTTATGCAGAATAGAATAAGATGATCCTCGATATCAATATAAGTGTCAAGGTAACAACAACAGACTTACCTAAGGTGTTCCAATGTGCTCTCTCCCACATAAGCAATAGCTGCAAAGTGCATCACAAGATCAAATGCATTTTCAGCAAATATCTTGTTGACCTGGGAGCCAGTTAAGTGAAAAGAAGACTTTGGATGTAACTCTCCATAAGCAGGAAAGGCACAAGCAAAGCAGCTTTAGAAGCATAAATGAGGATATAGATTTCTTGTCCCCCAGATCAGCAAAGATGAATTGTAGTCTCCCAGGCTATGGAAATAAGCCCTGCAGAACCTTTACTGCTCCCATGTTTCCTCTAGATAGATTATCCTACAAGATGAACCAAACTGTGCATCAGCAGAACGCTTAAATAACAATTAGTTCACACATTTAGTACAAAGAAAAACTTGATTACCACAATGGTAACTCGATAGTTATCCTTTAAGAGCCTTAAAGCGGCATGTGAACCAATATAACCAGCTCCTCCTATAACTAAGACATGGGTAACCCCAGGTTCATGGCGAGAAAACTGCAGGAATATACACACCATAGTCAACTTTAAAGTTGGGAATCGGAGTACTATCAAATTCATCTAAGTTTTGTATACAAAGCACAAATCAACATTAATTATCTGGATTGCTTGGGTGCCATGAAACAAAACACCAACTCTAGGCAGATAGCCAGATAGCTGAAATTGTCATGATGTCACTCAGGCCTTAACTGTCACAACCAAGCAGTGGCAACAAACACTTGCATGAAAGATCAAGTTGGAACATGGCCTAGGGTAAAAGGAACTGCAATAACAAAGACTATCGGCTGGAGGGATGTCACTTTCGATCTTTCATCATCTGCTCGCTAGCACCACCACAAGAAGGTACGGAGATATGTGAGGGAAACGAGTAGGATGGTGCTCTTCACTTTTGTTTTCTCATTACCCAAGTGCGTATTCCATGACAAGATACCAGACAAGCTTTGATGCATGTTCTAAAACTTCTTCAAACTAACATATCTAGTTGATGAAGTGCATTGCAAGAAAACAAAAGGAGGGGGAGCCTCAGAAGAGGTTACAAAGTTACTACCTACAGGAACATTAATTGATTTGTAATTTATGATATGAAACATGAGTAGAAGGTGGGTTGGAAAAGTTTATTGAAAGGAATATGATAGGATGGAAAAGTCTTACCACGCTATTGCCACCAAAACCATGAGATTGCTTCAGAACAAATATACAGAGTGTTGTGAGGACCAGGGCTGCAATGATTTTCCCAACATTATGAGGCTTCCACCTTGCATCAAAGTACTCCATCCCTGTCAACAAGAGAAACATACAAAGGGACCAGTCATACATTCAATCATTACAAATGAAGCACACTTATGATCAGATAGATAGATAGATAAATACCCAAATAACCCTGCTGTTACTTATAATATGCAGCATAAGTATACTCTGGCATTGACTTGGAATGTGATCTTAGCAAAGTGGCTGCTCTTTGCTTACAGATATATCTAAAAAATCTAAATAAAGAGTTATACACATCCACCTGACTTCGATTGAAATATTGCACCTAATAGCTTTAGCTCCACTTGCCTGTCTTTCTAGCAACTGAAATCTTAATGTGCACATAACAAGTATTACTTCAGGCAGAAGAAACACATCATTTGGATCGCAGAAAGGAACTTTTGCTCAGAAACATTCAACAAAGGAAAATACTGTCAGAAAATATACTAGTTGCCATACAGAATCACAGTTCCACTCATAGAAATGCTTAAATAGCACCTTTGAAAGCTAGCATGTGCTTTGTACACCAAGTGAATCCCATTGTAAGGCAAAAAAAGGATAGCTTTTCGAGTGGAGCACTAAAATATATTCAGTTTCCTTCATGGGGGAATGCATTAGATGGTCCAACTAAACATAAACAAAGCCAGTGGTGGTGGGCACACATGCTTAAGGGACCGTGGGGGTTAAGAGTGCATATCATTAGTCACTAGTATATCTAAAGCAACAGTAATAACCGAGAAAGGGGCATCGAGATCTACCAGCCCTGGGCAGGCTTGCCCTCTGGTTTAAATGGATCATGAAAGAATCACTACGGGATACAGTCGTTTCGCCGAGTGCCAGGGGCACTCGGCAATGGCCCAAAAACAATCGGCAACTGCTTTGTCGAGTATAACACTCGGCATACAACACACGGCATCTTTTTGACGGCAAACAACTATTTGCCGAGTGCTTTTTGTCGGGCACTCGGCAAAGCCTTTGTCGAGTGTCGGAAAAGCACTCGGCAAAGATTTACACTCGGCAAAATGAAAATGCGAAAAAAACCTAAAAATAATAGCAAAATTTTTCAATTTTTTTTTTCGGGGGAGTCCGCCACCAGCCAGCGCCCGCCCGTCTTCATCGAAGTCGGTGCATTTTTTGCGCTAAATTCACGGCTAACGCGGCCGGTGGGATTCGAACTCACGATCACTCCATCGCGTGTCTTGCTTCTACCACTGCACTACACTATCACTTGTGTCTAGATTCCGTTAGCTATCCTCATATATTATACTAAACCGAGAGTAAATTGCTTGTTTGAGGCCCTAAACGAATTCAAATCAAAAAGTGGTCAACTACAAAGTTTCATAACTTTTTGAGATCTACAAGTTTCATTTAGGAAGTTTTTCCATCCGAGGTCGATTGAAAAATTCGAATTTCAAATTTGAGAGATTCAAACGTAGTTTTGCATGATAAGATGATTTCAAATCAAAAAGTTGTCAACTATATAGTTTCATAACTTTTGGAGATCTACAATTTTCATTTAAAAAGTTTTTCCATCCGAGATCTTTTGAAAAATTCAAATTTTAAAATTTTCAAATTCAAACGTCGTTTTTGCATGACAAGATGATTTCAAATCAAAATGTTGCCAACTACAAAATTTCATAACTTCTCAAGATCTATAAAGTTTATTTTGGTCATTTGTTCATCCGACATAGTGGTAGTAATATTGTTCATAAATCTTATATATCTCTCTTCTACTTTCATGAAACTAATATAAGAGATATGAGAGATGTAGATTTTATGAACAACGTTATTGTCGCTTTGTCAAATAAAGAAATGATCAAAATAAACTTTGTAGATCTTGAGAAGTTATACAACTTTGTAGTTGAAAAGTTTTTCATTTGAATTCATTTAGGGCCTCAAAAATTGCTTTGAAAAACTGATTTGCCGAGGGCAAAAAAAATGCACACGGCAAAATGCCTCTTTGCCGTGTGCCAAAACAAAGGCACTCGGCAAAATACATATTTGCCGAGTGCCAGAAAAAGACACTCGGCAAAGACGCATTTTGCCGTGTGCCAAAAAATAGCACTCGGCAAAATACATCTTTGCCGAGTGCCGAAAAAAGGCACTCGGCAAAGACACATTTTGTCGAGTGTTTTTTTTGCCGAGTGTATTTTATTTGGCACTCGGCAAAGACCGTCTTTGCCGAGTGCCCGATAAAATACACTCGGCAAAGCCTCCGGCACTCGGCAAAGTGCCGGTTTACGGTAGTGAATTTTGCTCCTTGAGATGAGGCTACCGATGGTAGAACCCCTACTCGCCATGATCAACGTGATTTTCCAGCCAGAAGATCAACTGCAGAACCATCACATGGTATACATCAATTGTACTGGTACAGAATCATTCCATCTCAACGAAATGCAACGAGGATCAGCGACGGGACAGGCAAAACAGGTCATAGAGAAAGATTACAATTCAAACCATAAGCAGCAATACCGGATTTGTCTCAGGCGGACCACCCGATAATGATCGGAAAAACTCGAAGTTAGCAGGTATCATGTGTATACGTATATTGGTGTCAGATCCGAAACAAATAGCTTACATTAGAGTTCGGGGTGCTCGGCTTCGCACATCAGGAAGGGGATAGAACGAGGCGGGCGTACCTGGTGGATGCTCGTCGCAGGTGAAGACCTGGCGAAGGGCGGCGGCACCCGCCTGTTCGTCGCCGAAGGAAACAAATGAGAGAGAGATGGGGGAGGAACGGATGAACAGGAGAATGAAAAAGGAACGAGTGTACGTGCTCTTCCGGGCCGTTTGGATTATGGGAAATGCACAATAGATTTCTGCGCTGCGCGGCGCGGGGGACGGACTGGGCGGAGAGCGTCGCTGGGATCCGGCGGGTTACGCCGATGGAGCCCGGGGGGACGGCCTGGGCGGAGAGCGTCGACGGGATCCGGCGGATTCCGCCGGTGCAGCCCGGGGGACGGCCTGGGCGGAGAGTGCCGACAGGATCCGGGCGATTCCACTGGTGGAGGCGGGGGTCCGGGGGCTGGAACGGCGCCGGGGTCCGGGCTTCCGCCGGTGGAGGCAAAGCGGGGGGACAGCATTCCCGCGAAAGGCGGAGTCGGAGTCGGCGCGGCGCCGCCGGGCAAGAAGAGCGAGAGCACGCGCGGGCAGCGGCATACTCTCGATGGGGCGCTCGAGACGGCCGGGAAAACAACATTAAGAAGAAAGGGGACAAACCAAAATGCACTAGAAATCGCCGGTCGGCCCTAGCATCCATGGAAGACACGAAGGGAGCAGAGAGAACTTAGCTCGACGAACCCTAGAAATCGTCGGTCGATCGTCGAGAGCGGCGCGTCGCCTGGAGTCACCTGGAAGAAGCCAAAACGAAATGGAAATGGGGGACGGACGCCACTGAATCGGGCGCGACTCCCAAAAAATCAAAACTAGTGCCGACATCTAGGTCCACAGATCAGAGGCAAAGATAGCAGACCACATCCAACGTCCAGCAGACGCGCGCGAGACGATCCGACGGACAGAAAATCCATGTGCTAACAAACCAAAAACACACATGTGTTGTATAGCATTCTTGAATACATAGGGAAATTAATCAAAACAGGGTACCCTACGTTTAGTGGAGAACAGATCTATTATCTCTATGCTCAGGTTTACAGGGCGCTGATGGCTAGTTGCCTAGATATGACAAGATGTCTTGGGATACCTATCGGTGGGGATTTTTTTTAACATATTTTTTAAACTATTTTAAAATTGACACTGTTTATTTTTTTAAATCTAATACTTTTGGCCACGTCTATGCACGGCGCGATGAATTCAAGCTGTCGCGCCATGCATGGGGCGCGTCGAGGCTGCAACGTGACAGCGACCAGGGCCACTGACCGGTGCGTGGCTAGGTCTGCCGCGCCGTGGATCTGGATGCGATGCTGACGTGCCATGGCCATGGCGCGGCGAACTGCTGTTCATTTTCTAAAAAAAATGTCGTTGTTCATTTTCAGTTTTCCACACAAGCGTATGGACATGAACACATCGCTGGAGGTAGGGCCGGAGGACTGGCGGATTGGACCTGGGACAAACGGGATGCCCTGCAGAAAAGCTGGCCTGCGGGTCACGTGGGTGGACACCGTCAGTCCCCCGGGACAGACGGGACGTGTCCTGTACCACATGGTTGTTTCGAGGAGCCGCGGACTAGTAGGCCTGGTTTAGATTACAAGGTTTTTTATTTTCTCTTTATCACATTAAAATTTTATATATATATATTAAATATAGATAAAAAAATAACTAATTATATAGTTTGATTGTAAATTACGAGACGAATCTTTTGAGCCTAGTTAGACCATGATTGAATAATAATTATCAAATACAAACGAAAGTACTACAATACTAAATACTGATTCCTAACTCTCAATCTAAACACAGTAACCACAGCAGGCAATCATGTCGACTGCACTGTGGTCGTACACGCATTCTGTGGCAAGCTAGCCTAGGACTATTCCAACCGTGAGCCACTGAGCCTTTTACCCAAGGGTAAACACGTCGTCGTAGGCTCGCTCGTAGGTACTCCTGGCTAGTCTAGTAGTTCTTGTTTCTTGGTCTCTGCGTTCCAAATTATATTAAGTTTTAGCTTTTTTTTAATATATTGTCTTTACTATACACTTAGATATATGCTAGGTTTAGATATATAATAAAATAAATGTATCTAATAAAGCTAAAATATATTATAATTTGGAACATATGAAGTAGGTTAGAGCAAATATAATGAGAGATTCTTAGTAGGCTGAATATTGAGATGAAGGAAAAATAAGAGAAAAGAGAGGTGGACTATAAATTTACGGTCAGCTGAATCACAGAACAATAAAATATTATGAAAGAAAAAAAAGTTGGTCATAGGTAAATTAAGAGCATCTTTGAGAGCCTTTCTAAAATCTAATCTCTAGATTATCATATGGAAATCATTTGATTCAAAATCGCTTTATATATATTTGTACTCTTCAACAGTTTTTCTATATCTCATGTACAATTAAAAATTCATC